TTCTCTATCCATTCGTTTGTTAATGGGCACTTGGGTTGTTTCCAACTCCTTGCTATTGTGAACAAAGCTGCGATAAACATGGATGTGCATATATCTCCTTGGATGTCAGTTATGGTCTCTTTAGGGTATATTCCCAATAGTGGAATTGCTGGGTCAAATGGTCTTTCTATTTGCAACTTTTTGAGAAAGCGCCATATCACTTTCCACAGTGGTTGCTCCATTTTACACTTCCATCAGTAGTGAATAAGTGTTCCAGTTTCTCCACAACCTTGCCAGCATTTGTTGTTTGTTATTCTGTTAAATTTTGCTGTTCTTACTGCGGTGAGGTGATGATGTCTCATAGTTGTTTTGATTTGCATCTCTCTTAGAGCTGTTGTGTGTGTTGTTAATTGTGGAGCCAAGCAAACTAAAACTGTTAACTATCTCAGTCTCTTCACCATTCATACTGATGCTGCCAATTGGCCCAGTGGTGAGAATCTTTGTTTTCTTGATACTGAGCTTCAATCCATATTGAAAACTGCAGTCCTTGACCTTCTGCAGCAAGTGCTTCAGGTCCTCCTCAGTTTCAGCGAACAGGTGTACATAGGGTTTTCAAAGACCTGTAATTTCAGAAGTGGATGGCCAATCCTTCTTCCTAGTCTGTCTCATTTTTTGAATATATATAATAGTATCTTACAGACAAGCATTCTACAGAAAAGAGTAAATGAAAGACATTTACCAGTTAGAACGACCAGTATTCAGTGTTGCTGCCCACCTGGCTACATGTTTGGTTGGTTTTGGGTTTTGGGGTTTTGTTTTTATTTTGGTTTTTTTTTTGTTTTTTTTAAATCCACCCTTTCCCTACTCCACCACCAACCCTTCCTATTTTTGCTTACAACATTCAACACCTGTCTCCCATTGACTAGCCCCTGATATGATGTCCTAAGTCTCAAGTAATCAGGATTCCTCTGATTCTGACCATATCATGCTGCTGTCAGTCTCTTATGATGTGGTCAGTATGACTTCAATTTAAAGTTCTTAAGTACAACTCTCATGTACAGCTTCTTTTTCTGGAAGATCCTGAGAAAAAGGCCTCTTAAACTTCCACTCCAGAGTACTGAAGTGCAACTAAGTCAGGCTGCAGACTAAGTTGTGCCTGATCTAGGTTATAGTCTTTGCAATTACATGCTATGCATCAGAGAGTTGGACAGTGAATAGGGATGATAGAAAGAGAATTGATGCCTTTGAGTTGTGGTGCTGGAGAAGAGTGTTGAATAT